TCAGAATTCCTGTAAGAAAAAAAATTTCGTACCAATGTCATTCGTTTCACTTTAGGACTTCGGGGCTTTGGCACTTCAGCGCTTCGTAGCTTCAGCACTTCAGGACTTCGGCACTTCAATGCTTCGGCACTTCGGAATGTCGTTCGTTTTTAAAAATTAACATTTGTCTTTTTTTTTCTTAAACAGGAATGTTTTACATTGCATAGTGGACCACAGCAGCACCCAAACCACTTAAGCCTAAATGAGTGGTCTGGGTTTAGCTAATAATTAGTAGGGTTAGTTTAGAATACATTCAATTTAAAAAATGAATGATATTTTCACTGCACGGATAGTGAAGCCAATCAGGGAGCACTACCAGCATGCAACACTTCTGCACACTGTATAATCCCACCCCTGTGACACCATCTTTGTGGAGAGTTTAGGAGCAGAGACTGAGCAGAAAGAGAGAGAGAGCGCAGAGACTGAGAAGAGACTGAGCAGAGAGAGAGAGAGACACTGGGCAGAGAAAGAGCAGAGAGAAAGCAATTTGTGTGAGAGAGAGAGCAAAGTGAGAGCAAGTGATGTCTGGGAGAGATCAGTGTAGGGTCCCCCAGAGAGAGTTGTGGTAGTGGGGTAGTTGTGGCTAGTAAGGAGAGCAGTGTATGGTCCCCAGGGAGAGTTGTGGTGGTGGTAGTAGTGAGGTAGTTGTGACTAGTATGGAGAGCAGTGTAGGGTCCCCTGAGTGAGTTGTGGTGGTGGTGGGGTAGTTGTGGGAGATTTTCCCAGGGAGGGTGGTGGGAGGGAACGTAGGCATTCTAGGGATAGGAAGGGTGGTGGGAGGGAAGGCAGGCATTCTAGAGGCAGGGAGGGTAGGCATTCTAGGGGCAGGGAGGGTGGTGCGAGGGAAGTGAAGTGTTCTAGGGTCAGGGAGGGACGATAGGTGTTCTAGGGGCGGGGAAGGTAGTGAGAGGAAAGCTTGGGGCAGGGAGGGAGCGGGAGTTGGGGAGGGTTTGCCCAGGTAGAGTGTGGGAGGGAAGGTAGGCAGGGAAGGGGCTCTCAGAGAGGCGGATAGAAGGAGGGGAGTTGGGGAGGATTTGCCTGGGAACAAACTGGCCTTAATATTGACTTCTAGTAGTACAGACTACTCATCTGAGGAAAGACCACGGGGCCCCCATTTCAGCAATGCTGAAAATTGTGCGCTGGTGGCTGCCATCATCAAGGAAAAGGAAATACCAGATCATCGTGGAAGAAGGCTGCCTGGGCCAGGATAAGGGACACAGTAAATGCTATTGGAGAGGTGTGCAGGTGTGTGTGAAGCACAGGTAAATAATATATCACAAAATTATTCTTTATAAAGTCACCTATAATAATCTACACTGCTCAAAAAAAAATAAAGGGAACACAAAAATCACACATCCTAGATCTGAATGAATTAAATATTCTTCTGAAATACTTTGTTCTTTACATAGTTGAATGTGCTGACAACAAAATCAAACAAAAATAAAAAAATGGAAATCAAATTTTTCAACCCATGGAGGTCTGGATTTGGAGTCACACTCAAAATTAAAGTGGAAAAACACACTGCAGGCTGATCCAACTCTGATGTAATGTCCTTAAAACAAGTCAAAATGAGGCTCAGTAGTGTGTGGCCTCCACGTGCCTGTATGACCTCCCTACAACGCCTGTTCATGCTCCTGATGAGGTGGCGAATGGTCTCCTGAGGGATCTCCTCCCAGACTTGGACTAAAGCATCTGTTAACTCCTTGACAGTCTGTGGTGCAACGTGACGTTGGTGGATGGCGCGAGACATGATGTCCCAGATGTGCTCAATTGGATTCAGGTCTGGGGAACGGGCGGGCCAGTCCATAGCATCAATGCCTTCATCTTGCAGGAACTGCTGACACACTCCAGCCACATGAGGTCTAGCATTGTCTTGCATTAGGAGGAACCCAGAGCAAACCGCACCAGCATATGGTCTCACGAGGGGTCTGAGGATCTCATCTCGGTACCTAATGGCAGTCAGGCTTCCTCTGGCGAGCACATGGAGGGCTGTGCGGCCCCCCAAAGAAATGCCACCCCACACCATTACTGACCCACTGCCACACCGGTCGTGCTGGAGGATGTTGCAGGCAGCAGAACGTTCTCCATGGCGTCTCCAGACTGTCACATCTGTCACATGTGCTCAGTGTGAACCTGCTTTCATCTGTGAAGAGGGCAGGGAGCCAGTGGCGAATTTGCCAATCTTGGTGTTCTCTGGCAAATGACAAACGTCCTGCACGGTGTTGGGCTGTAAGCACAACCCCCACCTGTGGACGTCGGGCCCTCATAGCACCCTCATGGAGTCTGTTTCTGACCGTTTGAGCAGACACATGCACATTTGTGGCCTGCTGGAGGTCATTTTGCAGGGCTCTGGCAGTGCTCCTACTGTTCCTCCTTGCACAAAGGCGAAGGTAGCGGTTCTGCTGCTGGGTTGTTGACCTCCTACGGCCTCCTCCACGTCTCCTGATGTTCTGGACTGTCTCCTGGTAGCGCCTCCATGCTCTGGACACTACGCTGACAGACACAGTAAACCTTCATGCCACTGCTCACATTGATGTGCCATCCTGGATAAGCTGCACTACCTGAGCCACTTGTGTGGGTTGTAGTCTCCGTCTCATGCTCCCACTAGAGTGAAAGCACCGCCAGCATTCAGAAGTGACCAAAACATCTGCCAGGAAGCATAGGAACTGAGAAGTGGTCTGTGGTGTCTTGCTAATTGCCTATAATTTCCACCTGTTGTCTATCCCATTTGCACAATAGCATGTGAAATTGATTGTCACTCAGTGTTGCTTCCTAAGTGGACTGTTTGATTTCACAGAAGTGTGATTGACTTGGAGTTACATTGTGTTGTTTAACCCCTTAAGACCGGAGGGCGTACTATTACCCCAGGTAGTTCCCCTGCTGGCTGAAAATAAAATTAAATAAATTAAAAAGTGTAAAAAAAATAATAATATATACTTAGATCATATATATATTATATATATATATATATATATGATCTAAGTATATATATAGTATATATATATATATACACATATACATACACACACGTACACCGTCTAGGTGTATTTTACTATTAATATATATATATAATTTTATATATATATATTAATATCAAATTACACGTAGACTGATACTGATTAAATATATATATAATTATTGTTATATATATATATATATTTATATATAATATAAAAAAATAAAAATTTAAATATGTTAAAAAATTAAATTAAAAAAAATTATAAAAAATAAATAATTAAAAAATATTTAACCCTATAACTTTCCAAGACACCATAAAACCTGTACATGGGGGGTACTATTCTACTCGGGAGACTTCGCTGAACACAAATATTAGTGTTTCAAAACAGTAAAGTGTATTACAACGATGATATCGCCAGTAAAAGTGAAGTTTTTTGCATTTTTCACGCACAAACAGCACTTACACGGACGATATTATTGCTGCGATACTTTTTACTGTTTTGAAACACAAATATTTGTGTTCAGCTAAGTCTCCCGAGTACAACAGTACCACTCATGTACAGGTTTTATGGTGTTTTCAAAAGTTACAGCGTCAAATATAAGGCTTGCGTTTCATTTTTTTCACATTAAAATTCGCCAGATTGGTTACGTTGCCTTTGAGACCCTATGGTAGCCCAAGAATGAAAATTACCCCTATGATGGCATACCATTTGCAATAGTAGACAACCCAAGGTATTGCAAACGGGGTATGTCCAGTCTTTTTTAGTAGCCACTTAGTCACAAACACTGGCCAAAATTGGTGTTTTTTGCATTTTTCACACACAAACAAATACTAACACTAACTTTGGCCAGTGTTTGTGACCAAATGGCTACTAAAAAAGACTGGACATACCCCATTTGCAATACCTTGGGTTGTCTACTATTGCAAATGGTATGCCATTATGGGTGTAAATTTCATTCCTGGGCTACTATACAGTCTCAAAGGCAACGTAACCAATCTGGCGAATTTCAATTTCAAATGTAACGTGCTATATTTGACCCTGTAACTTCCCAAAACGCCATAAAACCTGTACATAGGGGGTACTGTCTTACACGTGAGACTTTACTGAATACAAATATGTGTATTTTATTGCAGTAAAAGCAAACAGTATTATGACATTGACCGTTAAAATGTCATGTAGAACTAAAAAAAAAAAAAAAAAATCGTATTTTCTCCCATTTTTTTCATATTATATTATGTTTCATAGCTAAATATTTGATATTAAATGTTTCCCCTGAATAAAATGATATATAATAAGGGTGGGTGCATTTACTATGAAAGAGGTGAATTACGGTTGGACAGACATGTAGCGCAAATGCCAGGTTCTGTTTACATTTTGTTTTGTTCACAACGTGTACATTTGGCTCCGTCCTTAAGGGGTTAAGTATTCCCTTTAATTTTTTTTTTGAGTAGTGCAGTTGAATTTGCAGGGGAATTAAAAAAAAAACTAGGTCAAATCAGTTTTTCTGGTTGAAGAGCTGTTTAGAAATTTTCTTGCAAAATCCACTTTATTTCCTTTTTAGTCATTAGATTCTCTTAAATGTAAAAAACATATAAACACACAATTTATTACTTGTCCCAAAACATATTCATAAACTTATCACATTAACAGCAAACAATAATAAATGCAAATATTGAAATAGGTAATTTATTTGTATATAAATAAGGTATATTAGCATACGTATTGGTTAAATAATAGTTTAATAGTCAACATATGACATAAAATAGTAACTTCTTATCATGTAGCTAGCAATTACAATCTAATAAGCAAATTACATTTTAAATGTGATGTTTAAAATCTTATACTCCCCAGTCAGTGTCGAGGCTAACCTGATAGTGGAAGCAAGTCATCATATTTTTAATTAGACGTTATTGTTGTTAACTTTTGTCAATTTCTTATGTACTTAACAACTAATGCTGTTTTTTCAGGTACTATGATTGCCATGTGGTGGTGAAAAGGAAAATGTCGTTGCAGTCCACTATGGTGTTCAGTGAGTGGCAGACTCGGCTCAAAGACGAGGTATGAAAGACACAGGGTATTAAAGAAAGATCTCAGCAGTAAATTAGCCAGTTCTACAGAGATCCAACAGTAAAATCAGTTTGGTCAGAGCATCCCTGATCACTCCACTCCCTGGTTAGGGGGGCAATACAACAATTAGACACATGCCAGATTCACAAAGGTGTCAAATATATGCCATTTAAAATAAGTTCACTGCAGTAATCCAGAGCTTGTAGTAAGATTATTCATTAGTTAAGTAACATTGTGAAATAAATTCACTGTCTCTCTTAAGGCCAGTGATGATTAAGGCCTTAAACTAGCATATTAGCTTGACCTCCCATAATTTTCTCTCCCTCTGGGTGTGGAACAATCCCATCAGTACCAAAAGCTTCACATCCTGGATACTGCGTCCACGGTTGACAGAAATGTTCTCCAAACAGATTTCTGTTAATACCCTGTGTCTTTCATCTCTTTCTCTCTCAAAACTGTTAAATCTGATTTGTTATTATGAATTTTGTTTTAGCCTCATTAATGCATGCAACCTGGTCTTAAAAGCTTCTCTCAGTTAGTGAGTAAAATTAATTTCGACATTACATTATAATGATGACATTGTTGTTTTGAAGCTCACTATACTTTACTATTACATGTGTGAACTTACCTTTTGCTTTCCTTTTTTTTTTCCAAGGTACATCAACCTCATCTGGCAAGTGATCCAAGCACATCTCAGCCACGTTCTGGTGAGTACGCAAACACAAAGGGTAAATAAATTATGATGAACAGCATAAATAAAAAAATAAATTAAAAAAAATCACTGTTTAGAAGATGTACCCCCAATGAAAACATGCATGCATTTAATTGTGCATTTTTTCATTGGGGCTATATCTAACAACAGCTTGCAGAACCGGCAGTTCTCTTGTCTTCAGTCATTGCAAGCACGGAGTCCAGTGTCAAAAAAGATCCCCATCGGAAAGCATTGGCAGCGCATGCGCATTAGGCTCCACTCGGAGGCTGACATCAATGGAGGAGGAGAGGTCACCAGTGCTGAGGGAGCCTGACGCTGGATTAAGGTAAGCAAATAAATGGTTATGTAACCCTTTATTTGTCACGAAACAGGCCCTAGTCACCTAAAAGATGACTGGGGCTTTATAGCACTAGGAATACATAATTGTATTCCTAACGCTATAGTGTTCCTTTAACTGGTAGCACAATTAGAATTAATTAACAGTGCTATCAATTCTACAATTATAATTGATTAACATTGCTAAGTCCTCCTTAGATATAAGTTTAAATATTTCCTAGAGTAACACTATTCTTTTTACATTAAAAAAATACACTATAAATTATAAAAAAGATAGTAGAGACACAGCTACATGTAATAATTTCTACAACATGTCCACAAATCCATTTATTTGCATGTTACTAACACTGCCTAGCTCATCTATTTCATGTCAAAGGCAGTCTGTTGGAAGAGGTGAAGAGTACAGGTCGCTTCATTTACCTGTCCACCTGTCACATGAGGACAGTGTGATTGAGGTGGCGCTGTCCTCTGCAGAATTGATTGCCTGCTCCCTGGAGGAGGACACGGGCCCAAGGTCTGTCTTCAAGACTGTCCACAGTGTGGCTGCACAAGAGCCACCCATCACACCACCATTTGTCCAGCCACTGCCACCTCTCCAGAGAGAGCCATCACCTGGCCCAGCAGTATCCCTACAGCGGATCGAGGAGCTGCTGGAGGATATGGTTTGGGCCATAAGGTGGCAGACCCAGGCCATCAACCACATGAGTCTCAACTTGTCAACACAAATGGACCTCCACCCCGCCAGGACCATCCCCGATGATTCCTCCAGAGAAGGCATCCACCTGCGGAGACAAGGACCTCGTGACCAGAGGTCCCGATAAATTTTTACAAAAATGCCCCTTCACTCTCCCTTTTTGTTTGTTTTTCTTTTTGTTTAGAGACCTAGAGTGCTCTATATCCTTTGCAACCAAATAGTCATAGGTCCCATAAAACATCTGCTTTTCCAGAACCATTTGTGCTACAGATTTACATATTGCTGTGCACGGTCATGTTGTTGTGACATAGTCATGCAAGAAAAGTTGTTTGCTTATAATTCATGCAAAACCATTTTAAGCTGAAACCAGTTGTTAGGACAATGTGAAATTTGGCACACATACGACAATTGCGTGAAGGTGCATATATTTCACTACTGAACTATAACACGTAATGTAAAAAAAAAATATTTATGATTACGCAATAACATGCCATAGGTCACTTAGGGATACAAGGTCACAAAAGTCAGTGGTCATTTTGAATTTGACGATCATGTAAAATTTATAATACGTTGTACAAATTTAGATTTTTACTGTGAATACAAATTCTTGTAAATAACTTATGTTTTTTTCACCTGTAAAGGTCAATTAGTTAGGTGGTTTTGCTGGCATCCGTATTGAAATCTTAACCGACATTACAGTGCATTCGTAAAAACCTTCAAAATCAAAAATTCTTTACAAAAATGTGGTGATAACACTTATGGTGTGCTCTGTTAATTGTATTGTGAAGCCCATATATCATACTGTCTGTCAGCCATGCTGGTTTTTATGATCAATGACCCAAAATCCCCACTATATAATTTAAAATGTAAATATTTGAATGTCCTTTATCATATCCAATATCTTTCTATGCATGTGCTGCATCCATGCTTTTAGGCTTGTTGTTATCCTCTCTACTGGTTAGTAGTACTAGTTAGTCATGTGCTTTGTCAGCCACTTTGTAATTGGCGGCACAAATGTTTAAAATAACTATTTATACTACTAACCATAAAATCAAACATTCTTGGTATTTATCCTGGCACCATATGTCATGAGGTCTGTTGGCCTTATTGAATTACATAAGTTTATAAAACTGATATCTTTTAAGTCTCTGCAATATCTGCTTATGTGCTCTCTACAGTTTTTTGTGTTTGGCCGCCTTTATTTTGTTTCTTGCAGATGAATTTGTAATGTATTTAAGCGCCAACATAATCTGCGGCGCTGTAAATTGTAAACATGATTTATTATATTTTGGATTAGAAACGGTAATAGTGTTCTAGGCTACAGTGTCCTTGCCTTGATGTACCTCCTGATGTTTAACGCTAATGTTCATACATCTTCATTCATACATCTTGCTATCAATATCACAGTATATTACTTGAAATGGAAATTCTTATTATTTATAACTGCACAATATACCTGGGGGTTTTTTTGGAGCACAACTTAATTTTTGGTTGGTATTGCTGGATAGACCGTAATCCATATACCTAGAAATTGAATACATATGCATTATTAGTAATACACACATTTTATAGTATACTACAGGTCTTTAAAATAAACTTTTCATGAAATCATTTAAAAGTGTTAAATCATTATCAATTTCAATGACAATGTGTTTTTAAATGTAAAACTAGTTAATACCTAACTAATTGCTGTTTCTTATGTTTACGTGGTCATTTACTGTAGGTAAAACAAACACCTGAAGAAATCTTTGTGTTCAATTTTATGGTTGCATCTTGAATTCATTTTGACATACTCATGTTTTCTACAAGGATTTAAATAAGTTGTGTGAAAACCACTCCACATATACATATCTTTTTTGAAAAAATTATAAATGCATAGGCTTAGCTTCATTTTTCCTTATTCATTAATGGAGTACTATACACAAACATGTATTACTGACCCTATAGGGTTAAAACCATCATCTAGCCCCCCTGGGCCCCTCATGCCTCCATAAATATAGTAAAATCTTACTTGTATTCAAGTCTCGTGCTGCTTACTTAGTCCCTGTTTCCTTTAGACCTGCCCACTGCCTGTTGACATCATTAGAAGTGGTAACCTGATCCAATCACAATGCTTCCCCATAGGATTGGCTAAGACTGACAAAGAGGCAGATCAGGGGCAGAGCCAGCACAATTCAAACACAGCCTAGGCCAATCAGCATCTCCTCATAGAGGTGAATTGAATCAAAGAATCTCTATGAGGAAAGTTCAGCGTTTGCATGCAGAGGGAGGAGACACTGAATGTTTGGATGCATTTTAGGCAGTCATGACCCAGGAAGGATCTCTAACAGCCCTCTGAGGAGTGGCCAGTGAAGTTATCACTAGGCTGTAATGTAAACACTGCAAATCTCATATTTCAAGCGAGTATGGAGTTGTTCCACCTAGAACACATCGACGAGGAGTTGGCAAACGATTGCACAACTCAGCACACTATTTCTTTAGATCAATTCAACAAATTAAGAGCAATGAGAAATGCAATTTTGTTCAGAAGAAAAACATAATTTTATATTATAGAGTAGTGGGTGTGGAATGGATACTATCTCTCTGGAGGCTTTTTTTTTTACCAACTAGCTGGTAGGATACACAAGTCAAAAGAATATATCAATAAATGAAGGTAAACAAACAACAGCCATCCCATAGTGAGTTAAGTGAGTTAAAAAAACACTTAAAACAGCCATCCCATAGTGAGTTAAGTGAGTTAAAAAAACACTTAAAGCCAAAAACTCAAAGTGCATTTCAGCACTAACATGGCACCTTCCTCAGGGGAAGACAAGTGACTGAATCCAAGAAGGACTTAAATAGGAGCCCGTGTGGAGGTAGAACAATAGTTGGACCAATCATAGTAGTCGTTGGGTGCATAACAAATTAGCCATGTGTAGTGTGGCCAATCAATAAGGAGTACGTCATAATGTGGGGAGGAGTTAACGATTAAACAGAAGAGAAAACACTATCAAGGAAGGTATATCCCAACACGCAAACCTGAGACACAGATATCTACTAAGGAAAGAAAGTAAAGGTATTACCGGTCCTTAGAGTGGCCGAGCTTAATGTGGAAGTATAGAATAATGAAAAAATAGAGAAAAACAGAACAAGCCAAGGTCGGGAGTACAGAAAGGTGGAAATACTAAAAAAAAAGCTAAGTTCAGGGAGCCAGAGATCAAAATAGTATTTTGGACAAGCCGAGTCAGAACCAGAATAGGCAAAACAGGAATATAGGAATGCGCTCTCGAGTCAAAGACCATGACAGGGCAAAGAGGAATGGACAAAAGGCTTTTAAATAGACCCAGGAGGGACTCTATTGGTTTGTTTACTACCTGATGCCCATATTATGCGCCCACCGCCATCTGCGTGGAGCCTGGGTGCCGGGATATGATGATACAAGTCTTCTGAGTATAGGGGGCACTGAGAAAAGTGTACCGGGTCAATACGTACGCGTGTGCGAGGCATCATCACGTGAGCTTGCATGCAAGGGGAACGTCGGAACGAGCGAACATGCGTTGACCGCAGGGAGAAAGGCCAGGGCAGCAAAAAAAAAAAAAACCCACATAGTGTAATATGTTTAAACAAAAGAGAGTAAATAAATTGTCTGGCATAAATTCACTCCAAAAATGCAACACACATTAAAAAGAACTCTTGGATTGGATTCCTCACCTGCTCTGCTGCATATAAACTGTGGGGTGGAGCACTGGCCTACCATTCACTCCGAATGCTCCACCCCAGGGACCCATATTAAATTACACATTTACATTGTGTTGCTGAATCAAGACAGACAGACATTTTCACTGGGGCTATTTGGCAATATATACAGCACAGCACTGCAATACCTTTGGGGGAATATATACATACAATTACTAACACAAATTGCAATGCCCTGCGCTCTGTCAGAGACCACATAGTCGCTACCCCACAGGCATATAGGACAGGAGGAACATTATAAATGATATACTTCTTAATCCAAATTTGGAGTAAATTTATGCCAGCCTGAGAGAAGGGCACCACTATGCCTGGCCTGCACCACGTGAGTGGACCCATATTATGAATGATGCCTTTCAGAACCTGTGAATAATTGCTAACTTATAACACCTAACAAATAAATTATATACAGTCGTCATGCCACCAACCGTAACACCCTTGGTGTTACCTAAGACCCACTAATAAGGCTTATGCTGCACCCTTAGTTACTGGGGACCATACCAGAGGCCACCACCCTCCCCCTCAAGTCATGATGGAAAGATATCACACCTTCTCTACAAACTCAGGGCGGGGCCCTATTCACTTAGGGGTTCTGACACACATGTCCGCCTATCCAGACCCATACGATCTTACCTTATGAGGATCTCACTACCAGTCACCTCCATGGCCCATAACCATGGCCACACTAGCCTGAATCAACTAACTCTATAAAAGTGCTGGAAATTGACTGCCATATACTTGTTCATTTTGATTGCATTGCGCCTGTAACTGCTGTTGTGGCAAAACAGGGCTTCTTGTTATATGCTGCACACTAAAAATAAAGAATAAAAAAAAATGGCTCTATAACCCGAATTGTATAATGTATCAATGTAAAGAACTGCATTATTCTGGTGTTTTTTTACCCTTTGTGTATCGGATTTAACCTTCTAAATAAAACATTGATTGACAAAAAAAACCCCACAAAATTAATCACTGCAGTAAAGTCACACTGCAGCAGAGAGACACCCTCGCAATCAGACGATCTGGCTTGCACAGCCACACACTCTCTCACCACCTCTTAAAAAAAGAAATAAAAACAGAACGCAGATTGCAGAGGAAAAAAAAGGCAAATCTCACTCTCTCTCCCTGGAACACACACTTAAAGCAATGTAGCTCCCCAAGTCTGCAACATGTAAAGTAAATGGAATGTTGTTTACCTCTCTCAGTCTCTTTGTGCTATCACAACTAGTCTGCCGCCTGGTCACATGAATGCAAGCCAACACCCTGACAGCCTGATTTATTACTATCCCGCCTCAATGACTTGTGCATCTTCATTGGCCAAGTGTCAGAGACAAAAAATTTGCTAATTTCATTGGTCAGGGAATAATTAAACTGGATTGGGCAAGCAAGCATTAT